GTTTGCGAGCCACGCACCAGAAACCGGTGCGAGAAAACTGAACGTCCTCCTGTCCAAGTTGCTGCTGCCAGGCTCGTAATCTGTCGGATGCGCCCCTGTAACCGCCTCCTCATGCTGCTGCCAGGTCCAGAGAGTGTGTCATGGGCCCCCGTACCGACTCCAAATGCTGCTGCCCAGGGCCCGTAATCTGTCATGGGCCCCTGTATCGCCTCCCCATGCTGCTGCCAGGTCCAGATTGTGTCATGAGGGGTCCCTGTACGGCCTCCCATTGCTGCTGCCAGGCCTGTAATCTGCCATGGGCCCCCGTACCGACTCCTCATGCTGCTGCCAGGCCCGTAATCTGCCATGGGCCCCTGTACCGCCTCCTCATGCTGCCTGCCAGGTCCAGAGTGTGTCATGGGTCTCCCCTGTACGGCCTCCCATTGCTGCTGTCTCTATCGCCCACACTCTGCCATGTGCCACTTTCAGGTCTCCTCACACTGCTGGTGGTTTTTCCATTTTTGTCATAGGGTGCTGTATGGCCTCCCATTGCTGCTGCCTCCACCGCCACACTGTGGCTCCACAGTCTGGTTTTGGCCCCGTGACTGGCCAAATGAGTGAAGTGTGCGGTGATTCTAAGATCGACGGCACTCATCTGCATGTCATACTGCCTAACAGTATTATTTCTCTTCCCCAGCAGACTCCAAGGGCATTTTAAATTAAAGTACAGTGTTCAGCACTAATATTAAGTCTCTCTGAAGCCTAGAAACACCCTTTTTTAAATTAAATTCACAGCGAATATATTCGACTCGAATCGAAATTTTTCCACGAATTCGCCGAATCAGTCGAATCGAATTTTTGAATACTTCGCTCATCTCTAGTAGCAGCCTATGCCAATGATATGCTGTTTTATATTGTGAACCCTGGGCTAATTTTACCTAACCTAATGGGATTACTAAAAGGGTACAGAGAGCTTTCAAACTTGAAAATAAACCCCTCAAAATCAGAGATGTTGAACATTACTGTTTCAAAGAATGTGAGTGATGCAGACTTTACAAAAAGATTTCCTATTTTCATGGAGAGAGAAGGAATTACGTTACCTAAGTGTAAAGTTGACTCCTTCTATAAAAAATATATACCAGGTAAACTATATTCCATTAATAAATAAAATATAGGATGAGTTGAGAAGACTCAAGGGGAAGGGTCTTTTGGATCGGGCATATAAACTTGGTCAAGATGGTGATAGTCCCAAAAATCCTATATAAATTCTACATGCTCCCAGTCCATATCCCAGGATCTTTCTTTGGGATAATAAAAACACTAATACTTAAACATATGTGGGCTAATAAGAAACCAAGAATTACAGTATCTCACAGAAGTGAGTACACCCCTCACATTTTTGTAAATATTTTATTGGATTTAACCAATGAATCTACAGGTGACACCCATACATGCCATTGCTCTGCAGTGTACGCTGTATTGTGTCACAGGAAACAATCACCCCAGTTTGGCTTTCTACTTCTTTAACAAACTGCACTGAACTTGCATGGCGATTTTCTTCAACTTTCTCATCAGAAGACGCTCCTGTTGAGGTGTTAACTTCCATAGATAGCCTGGAAAATCTCTGTAAGTTGGATGCAGTTCCATCTCTCTTAAATTTTTGTACCACTTTTGCTACAGTATTCTTACTTATAAGTAAAGCTCTGCTGATCTTCTTGTAGCCTTCACCTTACTGTAAAGAAATAATTTTCTTTCTCAGGCCTTGTGACATTTTTCTTCCATGTGGTGCCATTGCTGACAGCATGAAATGGGAAGGGTTTTTTCTTTATTACGTAGTGCCCTTTTATAATCATCTATCTGTTGCACACCTGTTTAATGAATATTTAGACTCACCTGTAGTTTAATTTTTGTTAATTAGGATTTTGTTATCTAAAATGTAGCTTTGCTCCTAAGGCTTCAATTGGGGTCTATTCATTTTTGCAACATGGTCTTGAATTAATTTGTTAGCAAAAATATTTTTTTGTGTGTGCAAATTAACAAATCTTGTTTGCAATCAATGTCCCTCATTTGTGAGAGTATTTTGTAGTATTGTGTCCCCTATAAAATGTTGATTCTGAAAGGAAAGTAAAGGTTTTCTGACAAATCTGTTGTGGTGTACTCATTTATCCTGAGCACTGTTCATATATACTGTGCCAGTTATTATACAGCATATCAATCTACTGTACTATGTACTAAGTTTATATACATTTTTTATGCAGCTTTTGGAAAAAATTAGGGTAAAGGGACTTGCATAAAGCAGAGCCTGCTTAGTATAATGATCTATCCAGATGGCAGTAATCCTGGAGCATAATTAGTATAAAAATGAATTTCTATATAGTTTAGATCGCACTTATATAACAATATCAGTATATTGCTTTGGTGTCTGTGGTAGGAACTAATTGGGGCACTATAATGACTTGGTTTGGGGGCCTAGTGGTCTCTTCTTGCACCTGCCATTGTATATGTTCTGATACTGCAATGCAGGAAAACCTCAGAGCTGATCCTCACAAATCCCTCTTTACCCATCTGCAGAAGACTGCGCCAGGCTGTAAGCCAATTCCTAATCTGCCTGTGTGGCCGGGTTATCCCTGCAAAGATCTCAGCATTAGCCTCTAATTCATTTGAAGCATCAGGCCCTCTGACGAATCTGATCTTCACACTGCACACAGGTATTTGGGCCTTTGCAGCCTGCTGGGTCATCCCTAATATTAAGTTCGGAGCTTTCATGTTAAAAACAAGTCAGCAGTGCTAGCTGCCATATTTTTATCCCTACGAGTTCACTTTAAGGCCTCATGCACATGGTTGCTTTTAGGTATCAAACGTAAATTGAGCGTGCATTTTTGTGCTCATGGTGCTCAGCGTGCAGCCGTCCATGTTAATGAATGGCTGTACGCTAGTTGTATGGGGTATACACTGTGCTTGTGTAAACTCACACACAGGTATAAATCCCTGTATGCACAAAAGCCACATTTGGGGATTTATAGCTGTGCGCAAGTTTACGCAAGCACGGCACATATCTGCATACAGCCATTTTATTACTATGGGGGGGTTGTACACTACAACTGGCTCTCCAAGCATCCTTGTGAATGAGGCCTTTCGTGAGCGTGTACTCAATTGTAAAGCTCTAAAAGTCCCGCTTAAGAGCACACACCGCTAGTAGCATACTTAAGGGGGATGTACAGTGCTGTCAAACAAGCAGAAGCAGCATTGTAGTACTTGTAATATAGGCAATGCAACATAATATTGCAACCTCATCTCTTTAAAACCAAGCACATATTAATTACACAGGTTCTGAGGATAATATATTGCAGATAAGGCACTAAGTGAGCTTAACCACTTGCCTACCAGGCACTTATACCCCCTTCCTGCCCAGGACAATTTTCAGCTTCCAGCGCTGTCGCACTTTGAATGACAATTACGTGCTCATGAAACATTGTACCCATATGAAATTTTTATCATTTTTTTCACACAAATAGAGCTTTCTTTTGGTAGTATTTACTTGCCACTTGGTGTTTTATTTTTTTGCACTATTAACAAGAAAAGAGCAAAAAATTTGAAAAAAAAAGTTTTTCTTTGTTTGTATTTTAACATTTTGCAAACAGGTAATTTTTCTCCTTCACTGATGTGTATTGATGATGCTGAACTGATAGGCTGCACTGATGATGCTGCACTGATATGTAACAATGATGGGCACTGATGGGCGGCACTACTGGGCACAGGTGGGTGGCACTGCTAGGAACTTGTGGGCGGCACTGCTGGGCACTGGTCATCAGTGCCCTGATGATCGGTGCCGATCCGTCCTCTGACAATTGCCGGTTATCGACAGTACTTTCCTCATGCTGTGACAGCGTGACAAAAGTGCAGCCAATAACCGGCAACTGCATTTACTCAGTGATCTGCTGTGTCATTGGACACAACTGATCACGTGGTAAAAGGACGCTGTGATTGGCCTTTTACATCATGTGATCAGTTGTCTCCATAGGACACAGCGATCATGGGGATCGCCGGGGGCACGCAGGAGGGCACATTCTGGGAGGACGTCATATGACGCCCTCCCAGAACTGGACAACTGCGCTGTAGCTGTCATTTCAGCTGTAGCCGTCATCCATATAATGGATGTCTGTACTGGGGGTGTATGTATACAGGGTGGGAGGCATGTAGTGGCAGGGTGTTTGTTATAGGGGGGTGTCTATACTAGGATGGGGGTCTGTATTGGTAATGTCTGTATTGATGCGGGTCTGTACTGGCGGTGTCTTTAGTGCCGAAGTCTTTAATAGGGGGAGTCTGTACTGAGGGGGTCCGTACTGGGAATGTCTGTACGGAGGGCAACTGTACTTATTATATTTTATACAGGATTTATATGGCACCAACAGTTTTCTCAGCGCTTTACAATATAACGGGAGACAATACAGCAACAATACAGTTCAATACAAGAGGAATAGGAGGGCCCTGCTCCTTGGAGCTTACAATCTAGGAGTACATAGGTTGGAAGGAGGGACTGTACAGAGACGATCTGTACCAGGGGATTAGGCAGGGAAAGGGAGTTGTTATGGGGGGCTGTACTGAGGGTTTAGGCTCGGAGGGGGAACTGTACTGGAGGCTTTACTGAGGGGTCAGGCTGGTAAGGGGTCTGTACTCAGGGGTTAGGCAGGGAGTTGGGCCTGTACTGAAGTGGTGGGTTGGGAGGGGGATTCAGGTCAGTAGGGGAAGATCTGTACTGGGGAAGATTGGGGCTGTTCGTTGTGATTTTGTACTGTGGACGATATGGGAGTCAGGGGTAGATTTGTACGGGAGTGGGTAATTTTTGGTTGTATTCTGTGTAGTGGCAATTGGGCCACACCCATAGTTTGGCACAGAGCCCTGCACACACTGCTGTATTATTTTACTTTGTGCGTGTGTTTGGCAGGAAAGGCAGGGGCATACCTAATTTTTTCAGGGCAGCATCACCTCCCCCCAAGGCAGAAGGGACCAGTGGAGTCACTATATGGGGTCAATTGTCCCCACGCCAGGGACTGTATAGGGTACAGATGATCTCAGCTTGGCTTGGGCGGTCTCAGCTGGGCTGTACTCGGGCAGGGGGGTGGTTTTGGCTGTGCTTGGGAAGGGTGTGGGTTCGACTGTGCTTGCATAGGGGGTGGTCTCGGCTTTGCTCGGGCGGGGGGTGGGCTCAACTGTGCTCAGGCAGCGGGTGGGTTAGGCTCTCTCTCGGGTTTGGGGGGCGATCTTGGCTGAGCTCAGGTAGGGGCGGTTTTCGGCTGTGCTCGGGCAGGCTCAACTGTGTTAGGGCAGAGGGCAGGTTTGGTTGTGCGGGGGTGGGGGGGGAGGGAAAAGAGATGAAGAGAGCGGGCGGGGGGGGGGGGAAGAGAGGGGCGCAAGCTCAGCTGTGCTCGGGCAGGTGCAGCTGTGCTCAGGTGGGGATGGCAAGCTTGGATGTGCTCAGGCGGGGGGTGGGTTCGGCTGTGTTGTTTGGGCGGGGTGAGCTCGGCGGTGCTTGGGCGGGGGGGGTGTCTGCAGTCTCTGACCATCTCCTGTATCTTGTCTGCAGTCTCTGCTCATCTTCTTTATTATGCCTGCAGTCTCTCATCATCTTCTTTATTATGCCTGCAGTCTCTGACCATCTCCCATAGTATACCTGCAGTCTCTGACCATCCCCTGTAGTATGTCTGCAGTCTCTGACCATTTCCTGTATCATGTGCGCAGTCTCTGACC